ATGCCTTTATAATCATATACAAATGAGACACACAAACACAAACAAAGGCAGAGGCTTCTCCTTTTTCATTTCCGGTTTCTGGACATGGTGCTTCATCTCTGGCTCTGGGGAGGCATTTCTCTCCATTTTCAAGCTGAGGAGCCTGCTTTGTCATCTCCTGATTGTGTGGCTGGCAACGCAGTCTTTGCTTTTGCATCTCTTTGACTTTTCCCACCAAAGTAGTGCCTATTATCTACTCACATTACATGTTTTCGAACTGCTAGGTTAACATGAACTGGAAAAGACAAAAAGGAGTTCACCCTGTCTCATGGATTGAACTGCCAACCTTCAGGTTAGCAGTTTAGTGGCACAAATGTTTAACCCACTGCATCACCACTGCTCCTTGAAAGGACTCCCATCCCACCTCCCCAGACTAATTCAGCCTGGGAGAGCATGCAATGATTGTGGGGACATGATCCTGGATCCTGGAACAGGATCATGTCCCCACTATCATTGCATTCTCTGTGTGTGTTGTGTGAATGCACCGTGGCAATGAGATTCTACACTGAAGTATAAATGAAGTCTCAGGGCCCTTCCACACAGCCCTATCTTGCAGAATATCAAGGCAGAAAATCCCACAATATCTGCTTTGAACTGGGTTATCCAAGTCCACACTCAGATACTGTAATGTGGGATTTTCTGCCTTGATATTCTGGGATATAGGTCTGTGTGGAAGGGCCTCTAGTCTCATGTTGCCTTCTCCTCTAAAGTTTACCATCTGCATAGTTTGGGAATTACTCTGATTTGGCATAAATGGAGGGACCAGATCTCAGTACTCCATGAAACTGCATATTTAAGTGTGCCTAAATTCATTATCAAATGGACTTATAAACAACATTTAAGCTTGTTGGATGACTTGCATTTTCATAAAAGGAACTACAGCCATACTCAATGGAGGATTAAATATTCAATATCATGGGAGAGCTATAATCAAGTCACCTTAAATTGTTTTCCTACTCTAGGAAGTCTCTAAGTGAATTCTGCATTTCAGCTTTTTTCACATTATCCCTACTTGTGTTAAATGTTTGAAATTCTCCTAAGTGATTTCTCCCTTTTGCTTTTTCTTGTACCAGCCCCTTTTCTTGTACCTTCATTAGACTTCTTAATGCTGTGTCTTCAATATCTTGATTTTTAAATAACTCCAATTCTTCATGGATTCCCTTCACTTTTAGTGTTCCTGACCATAGGAACTCACTCAGTAGTCTCCTATTTAATGTATTTTCAAAGGCTTTCATGGCCTGAATCACTGGGTTGTTGTAAGTTTTTTGGGCTATATGAACATGTTCTAGAAGCATTCTCTTCTGAGCTGCAGTGCCACTATAAATAGGAAAGGAATAAACAGAACTGGCATATTTTCTATTTCAATATATTAATTTATTATATTTAACACCAACAATCTGTATGACCCCAAAACAATATACATTCAAAAATATAGGCGAGGGAAGGGAAAAAAACCAAGAAAATAAAAAAAATGATTATTCCACCAACACATATCTAATACATAATCATCACACTAAAGCTGGTAAAAGCCATAACCACAGCTTAATTACATCATTAGAGTATGTCTTCCTTGTAATATTTGTGTGGCAACATGGGAGGCTTCCTGATATGCATTGAAACAATGGGGGGAAGCTGGGCGGGGACCCTTCCCCTATGGGATGAGGTGAGGGGGAAGGCGGGTCATGCAGCACACTGGGTTTCCCACACCCATTTCTGGGCTCCGCCACATACACATACAATGTGTATCCTTGTTATCAGTCTAGGAGAAAATGTGGCAACGATTGCATCCAGTGTTACAAGATTTTTAGATGACAGAAGTTACCACTTTATATAAAACACTTTCCCAAAAAAATAAAAAATGTATTCCCAATCTCACCACTTTTTATTTTCTGAAATTTATAAATTTTCACTTTTGTCCAGTTTTAACTATATTATTCTTGTAATATGTAAGCCACCCTGAACCACAAATCTGAGAAAAAAAAGTGGTAAAAATAATAATTAGAATGTCACTTTTAGAAACTATTTTCACCAGCATGTAATTATTTATTTCTGTGCTAGACAAGAGTACACAATAAATATTAAATGTGAACTATGGACCCCATCACATTTACTCCTGGATTCAGCACACATTGTGATGAATCTAATGGGGCGCAGTGAGGGGTTTGGGGAACCTGGTACCCTGCATCACCCACCTTCCCCCTCACCTCATCCCATAGGGGGAAGTGTCCCTGCCCGACTTCCCTCTATTGATTTCAATGCAACATAGAAAGGCTCTTGTGTTGCCACCACTTCCTCCTACACCAGTTTCACCCCTATTCAGGCATAGAGCCTCACCAGAAGTACATCAATGTAGTTTGATGGGAGCCGCCGGGCTCCCTGCCTGAAGAAGAGTGAAATCTGCATAGGACAAACACTTTTTCCCTTCTGATGAGGTGGAATGGCAATATCTATGTAATTATTCCAGTTATTTATTTTTATTTGTCGTGTCAGGACAACCAGTCAAATTATATTACATTTCTAACAGAACAAAGCAAACAAACAGACAAAATACAAAATTTGTGAGTTTGGTAGTGTGTTAAATGTCCTTTGACCAGTATCTGGCCACTTGGAGTGCCTCTGGTGTTGCTGCAAGAAGGTCCTCCATTGTGCATGTGGCAGGGCTCAGGGTGCATTGCAGCAGGTGGTCAGTGGTTTGCTCTTCTCCACACTCGCATGTCGTGAATTCCACTTTGTGGCCCCATTTCTGAAGGTTGGCTCTGCATCTCGTGGTGCCAGAGCGCAGTCTGTTCAGCGCCTTCCAAGTCACCCAGTCTTCTGTGTGCCCAGGGGGGAGTCTCTCACAGAAGTGACCAGCATTATTCCAGTATTTGAGTATATTATTGATCTTTTTTAAAAAATCTAATGCTGAGTTATGCTTTGAAAGACTTGATAGCATAATGCACATATTTTTCTTGAAATTCTGCTAATCTTAAATTTATTTTATTTCATATACTTGTACCCCGCCCTTCTCACCCCCGAGGGGGGACTCAGAGCGGCCTTAAATGTGTACCATGACAATATCTTGGATTTTCCCATATGTGCCTGTACTATTGCCTTAAAAAACAAAAAAAAACAAATCTAAAGCTGAGCCAGGCCTTGAAAGACTTAATAGCACAAAGTGCAGATTTCCCTTGTGTTTTAAAGTGTGGAAAGAACTTTTCAGGAACACAGGAGATTTGTGATGGATCAAGTGAAAAGCTCAGGAACTAGATCTTGGATGCCGGTGCTCCCAGTAACGGATATCCTGGAAGTGCCATCATTATACCAAGATGGTGCCCCACCCTTGCTACAGATTATAAAGCAGCTGATCCGAAGTTGTTTTTTCGCTGCTGGATGATTAAGTTCTTCTGAAAGCAGAGAACCAATTATCACTGAGATATCCACGATTTATAAGGAGAACATCTCAGGCCTGGATATTTGGTACTGAAAGCAAAGAGAGGCTATTGGGAAAAGCTAGGACTTTCTGTGCATTAAATGCTGTCATTATACTAAATTGTTGTCCATTTTTTGAAATATTCAATTGTCAGCTTGTATTGTGAGCAGATACTACAGCTCCAGAAATTTCTTGGGATTGAATAGTTCCTATAGAATGCCAATTTGTGGTAAGATTAAAGCACACTGGAATTTTTTTAAAGAATAAGGGTTTTTTTTGCAATCACATAGCACATGGATTTTGTCTCTGGTGTCATCAGGCTGGCTTTCTTTCTCTACTTTCTGCAAAGGAAGGATAACTGTGTAAGATATCCTCTCCTCTAGATCTTCTTCCCTGATTTTTTGGAGGGAGGAGGTTAATTATGTTCCTTTTAAAAATATACATACAAATATATAGTAATTTGTATAATCGCAATCGCGATTGGTGGGAACGAGGGACAGGGCCTTCTCGGTGGTGGCCCCTCGGCTCTGGAACTCCCTCCCGGTGGAGATTAGATCTGCCCCTTCCCTCCTGACTTTTAGAAAGCTGGTAAAAACATGGCTTTGGAATACTGCATTTGCAAAATGATGACTGAGTCAATAACCGCTGACCACACGGGCGGATGGCGATGAACTTATGATTTATTCTGACGAACTGACCTTTTGTAAGTTGTATAATTGTATTTTAATGTATTTTTGTACTATTGTATTATGATGTTTACTGTGGTTTATCTTATTGTATTTTAACCCTCTGGTGTTAGATGGCCTGAGTCCTTTTTCGGAGGTTGAGAAGTTACAAAAGCTCGAGTGTACTGGTCCACAATGGGTAGGTGAAAAGCACAAAACCTGATCCCACCCTTGTCATATCTGGACATTCCTTCTCCAAATTTTGGCCCTTTCTTTCATGCATTTATTTAGTGAGCTCTTTCACAGTCATGTTGTTCTCCTTTTCCCACTGCCCAGGTTTTCAAACTTCACACTTAGAAAAATACAAAATCAAGGGGAGAATTGTGCATGTACCCCTTTTCATTGAAACATAGGAACTCATGAACCTTGCTTGGGTGGATTACATCTAAGATAGGAAATTGTATATGCTGCAGCTATTTCTTTGAATTTTTCATCACAAGGCACAGCTGGACATGCCAGATAAAGCCCAACCAAAAAAAACCACCAACATCAGTCAGAAGTAATCTGTAGATGCTGATCAAAGATGCACTGCATACACATAACAGTCAAGTGAACCCGAATGATAAACCACACAAACTGTAATCCATTATCATAACAACCTACTCAGAAGCATAATAAAAAAAGAGTCAGATTTAAACTACATGCACTGGAGCAGCATCACAGATGGTCAACCAGGCTGAGATTGCTTTGCTGCTGCCACTATTTCTTCAGCCAGAAGCAAAGCCATGCTGGTTATTGAGCTCACATGTCTGGTCATCTGGTTTTGACCTCATCAAAAGCAACATTTCTGGCAAGCCTCTGTAAGGGAGATGCTTCAGGCCATGTTTGGAGCAGGCTGGTGCCACCAAAATACCAAGACGACCTTTGATATTCCTGCAAGTTCCAGCTGAAAAGGATGCTGCTTTTGCAAATCAAGCCATACAGCATGTGGATTTCTCACAGCAGTTGAAAGGTTAGTTCATTTCATTTGACTCATATAAAGTTAGTCTGTTGAAGTTGATGGGACTTAAGTAGGGATAAGATAATGAATGAGTCCAACAAATAGGTAAGCTGTGAAACTTAGACTGTTCAATTCACAGTAATCACAAAATTAAGCAACATGAAAAAAGTTTTGCACAGTCTTTCAGTGATTAATCCACTTATACAGATAAGATAATGAATGAGTCCAACAAATAGGTAAGCTGTGAAACTTAGACTGTTCAATTCACAGTAATCACAAAATTAAGCAACATGAAATAAGTTTTGCACAGTCTTTCAGTGATGTTGTATGTTCTTGAATCAGCCTCCCACGACCGGTTTCGGCCTTTGCTTAGGCCTTCTTCGGGTGGTCTGTAATATTACATACATAAATGCATTTTACAATTGTATAGGTTGAACACAATGAAATCAAATGCATCTAAAAATACTTACAAAGTTCAGTCTTTTACATACGTTCTCATAAGAGATACTTAAATTTTTTGCAATGGGATCTAGGTAAAAGGAACAAATTGTGGCTATTAACATTTAAAAGTTATGTATACCAAAATAAATGTTTTACCAATATATTTCACCAAATAGGTGTATACTCACAAGATACTCTGCTGCTAAGTTTGGTTCTAATTGCGAGTATGAATGGGATCTGGGAGTTTCCTCTATTTAAAGAGGAAAATGCACATCAGATGTAGAGGAGACAGAGAAGTTAATTTAAGGCTCATTTAAAGTTATAGGTGTGGAAAATATCACCACTAGATGGCGTTGTGAGTAAGGTACTCCCCAGGGATGTATAGTATACCAGGGATAATACACAGAACCTCAAGGTTATATATAGCAACTGTATGAGTTGTATTCGTTAAGACCATATGGGTGTTCCGTCCGTAATCTGAAGATCCAATATGTTTCCCTTTGTAGAAGTTTAATGTTAAAGTCCATGTGTTTGGATTGTGTGACTACTTCTAATATGTGGTATTTAAAAGATTCAGGGTTGTGCCGTAGATCATTTCGATGCTGTACCAGATTTACCCTATTCTGAAGACAATTCTGCATGAGGGTAACCTCTCAGTTTGGTGAACTGGCTGGAGAAATGCAAAGTAAAGAGTTTTTCTTGCTTTCCACAGTGGTTCTTAAACCTGTGGGTCCCCAGGTATTTTGGCCTACAACTCTCAGAAATCCCAGCCAGTTTACCAGCTGTTAGAATTTCTGGGAGTTGGGGACACACAGGTTGTGAACTACTGATTTAGAAAAAGTTGAGAAGAGAGAAGAATAGCTGCTGTTAGAATCATAGAATCAAAGAGTTGGAAGAGACCTCATGGGCCATCCAGTCCAACCCCATTCTACCAAGAAGCAGGAATATTGCATTCAAATCACCCCTGACAGATGGCCATCCAGCCTCTGTTTAAAAGCTTCCAAAGAAGGAGCCTCCACCACACTCTGGGGCAGAGAGTTCCACTGCTGAATGGCTTTCACAGTCAGGAAGTTCTTCCTCATGTTCAGATGGAATCTCCTCTCTTGTAGTTTGAAGCCATTGTTCCTTGTCCTAATCTCCATGGAAGCAGAAAACAAGCTTGCTCCCTCCTCCCTGTGGCTTCCTAGGGATAAGGACAGGTTGGGCATCCCATATCAGAAATTTGGAAACCTAAAATCTTATAATGTATATATATACAAGCACAGGTATTCAAAAATTCAAAACACTTATGGTTGCCAGAATTTTTCATTAGGGATACTCAATTTGCATAGAACTTTCAAAGATGGGTATAGGAAGGGGAAAAAAGGAAAATTCCATACAGTGGATGAAAAAATTAAAGATACAAAGTTTTTTGCATTTTTTTTCAAAAAAAAAAGTAATTTTAGTGATTTTCTTCCTTCTGTAATTGTGACAACTGTGCAGTTGTTGAAACATTTTCACAGTTCAAAACATAATGTACATGTAATAGTACTGTGATATTTTTACACCCACCTACCCACCCCCAGCCCCCTAACCTAGTGTTAGAGATGAAGACATTCCTGGACCATTTGCCCTTCTAGGCAGAATCCTGTTGGGGCTTTTTTACACGTATGAAAATGGATTGTTGGAGCAGTTGTACTTTCCACTATGTTTCATAAAGAGATACAAGGAGCATGTCCTTATGCAACCAGTACCTCCTTATGTGCACAGCTGCTGCTCAGCAGCCATGGTCAAGTCTGCCCCTAACCTAAGTGGCCTTTGATTGGAAATGGGCTCTTCTGTCCTCCATCTATGGAAGCCCAGATTCCACATAGATATGTTAGTGCAGTGGTTCTCAACCTGGGGTCCCCAGATGTTTTTGGCCTTCAACTCCTAGAAATCCTAACAGCTGGTAAACTGGCAGG